CCACATACTTAAACGATCTCATCATGATTTATACAATTTCCTATCTTTCTATATTATTATTTTAGAGAATATTAACATGTGTTTGTATACACTATGTAGATGGGTTGACTATAAACAATCAGAAAACAATGACCCTGTACACAAACACATTTATATTTGTATATTTAAACGATTTAAACATTATACAAAGAGGGTAATCTCAAGACCTCAATACATAATTTTAAAACTGTTATCTAATCTATTGATATTAAACTTCATTTACTTTAAATAATGAAAACAAAGAAAAAAGAAAAACAAGAAAATGAAAATAGTGTAAAATACAATTAAAACTCTCGATTTAGTCTGGTGGGCATCCTATAAACACTTTATAAAACTACGTTACATGTATGTATGCTGGTATATATACACAATACAAATTAAAATCGTAAATTATTCAATCTTTTATAAAAATAATGCAAAATATCTTCGGTTCTTTGGTTCTAAAACAAAAAAAAAAAAACAATATTATTATTATAAGAAAAAATAAAGGAGAAAAAAATGTTGGCGGTCAAGAAGAAGAGGAAAAAGTAAAAATAACAAACATGCAAGATATCATCATTCTTCTAATTAATTTTTCAAGATTTTTGGCTTATAGAATTCAGATTTAGATATAATACACATTATATACAAATATGCATGTGTGTTTTCCGCTGTTGTATAAGATGTAAGTGAGTATTTTGTTACCGAAAGAATAAAATACTTGTTTTCATTATAGGATTTCGTTTCGTTAAAAAATGTCTGTGTACTTATGAAATCGTTAGTAACTCAACTTAGAAAATCGCACTATTTTTCTCGCTCGGAATGTACCTATATTCGCATAAATCTGCATTATGTTTAAATTTTTGTATATTATGTAAGGTATGACAAAAATAACAGTCCGGTTTACTTTTTACTTTCATATTTTGCCTATTTAATTTTCGGTACAAATATTCATAGTATATAGCGAAACTTTTGGTTTTTTTTTGTAAATTTGGACTATTGGAGAAAACTGAAATTAATACAATTTTTGTTACCTACTGCAATATATCTACATACACTATATGTAGTTCTTGTAAAATATGATTCAGTAAAAGATTCAGAAAAATAATGTATTCAATAGTTACAGTGCTGAACCTATTGTAAACGGGTCCATTTCCTTAAACTGAATAATTTAACTAATTTTGATTAATTATTTTTTTTTACTTTTTATGAACCTACAATTTTTCGATTACTTAATTGCTTTAATTGAAATATAGGCTCCACCAAGCCACATGCTACATTCTTAAATGTATTTTTCTAATTTTTTTATGAAATTTTTATGATTTCTTTATGCAATTTTTATGTGACCTGTAACTATTGTGCATATAGTATGTTTTTATTATAACATTAAACAAAAATACGAACATTTATATATATACAGTGCCCTTTATAAATTTTCCGCCATTTATTTTTATATTGTTTGACATGCTCTTATTCAATGTGCATTTTATATTCAAAATCTATACTATTACAAAAGGAGTGTCCTTTCTATACCTGTCCTTGTATAAAAAAAAAAACAAAGTTCAAAAAAAAAAAGAAGATCAATAATGTCAAAATAATTAATTTTCTTTTGATAACTAATCACTTAAAAAATTGGGTCAAGTTCATGATTAAAATTTTTTATATACGTTATTTCTCTGGTCTCTCATCGAAATTATTTAATAAAATATGATACGTGAACCAATTAATAATTATTAAAATATATACATACACATATAAAATGTGTGATATTTAATATGTTGCACGTTTTAATAAAGAAGATTAAGTATAGGCTTAAAACAAGAATCACGATATTTTCCGCAATTCACAACACAAATTTTAAGGAAAAAGAAAGGAAGATTATAATTTCATTGATCAGAAACTCCTTAAATTTAGATCGTTTCCCTTACGTTTAATATGAATAATGTGATGCGTTAAATATTTTCTACGCTTTAGCGCTTCTCTTTCACTTTTGTTTTTTATTCTTGAAAAATTATTAACATTTTATAATGTGCTCAATAAATCAATTTTCAACATAATTTATAAAATAAATAAAGAAAAAAAAATTTACGAAATATTTTTTTTGTTATCGCAAGTAAATCTGCTTTTCAGATTCAAATTTGTCATGGAAAGTGAAAAAGGAAAAAGCAAAAGGTTATGATAAAAACATATGGAAATGATGAGAGAAACATGGACATTAACGATGACAATATTTTTTTTTATCACAAATATTATGTGTTTTATGATATAAAAACAAATTTTCACTTCATTCGACTGTCACCACACTAAATTACCGAATACGAGAAGATTTATTTTGTTCGAAAATTTTCCTTTTCGATTCTTTGAAAATTTTGAATATGAAAGTGAATATTTGTTTAATTGAATTATTGTAGGTGCTTGAAATTATTATAATTTTTGTATTTATATAAATACAAGAATTCTTTTATTGCAACACTCACATAAATTTAAATCAAATTCAATTTCTAAAATTAAAGTAAATTTAAAATATAATGTACACAAACTTAGCTTCAATGAGATAATTAGGAAGGAGCTTGGTCCATTTTAACAATATATGGTAAATTGTTATAATGTAACCAAATTTTTGATTTTTTGCCATTATTTATAGTCAGCAATTCTTTTACAATTATTTTGAATTTTAAATTGAATTGAGATATCCTAGAAATATCTCCTTATAATAAATAATTAATTTTCTAAGCATAAATTTTAGATACTTTTATCGTTACGATAATTTTTACCGTAAAGCAGTTAATTCCTCTCTTTAAGTAAGGGCAGAAGATAAGTGTAAAATTGGAACATGAATTTACTCTTTCGTGCAATGTTACTTTAAATGATAGTGGATGCTTGGTCTAAGCAACTAGTCTGATAATGATAATAAAAATCCTAAGAAAAAGTTTATCTATTGCAAATGTTTTTTCAAAACAGTAATTTCATAGCATTAAATTTTAAAATTTTACAATACAATATTTCGATTCTAATTCTAAAATATTGACATTCTTGTATTTTTCAATTCCTCTGTCTTTTCTGATTTTTTTCGATATTACATAATTATTATATATTCGCATATATACACTGCTTTGAATTAATCGAAATTATAATTCAATCAATATATAAATTTAATAAAATATAAAAAGAAAAATTCAAACATCTTTAGTTTGAGTTGTGCGGTGTCAAGCACGATATTATTTATTATCTTTTCCAGTTAAAAATACATGAATTAAATACAGATAAAATACTGTTTAACAGCGAATGCTGGTATATGCAAAAAAATTACAAAAAAAAAACCAAATAGGTAGTCATCAACTCCATATGAGTTTTTACCAAAAAAAGGTGTTCAAAAATTCGGTATGGAATAATGTTAATATTTTGAATTCTTGCCATTACTACTATAAACTGTGTGCCGAGTTTTTCACATATTAATTTAGGAAGAAGCAAAAAAAAAAGGAATGTACAGATGGATATTAAAAATCATAAAATATTGAAACATAATAATTAGTATTTTATAATTAAGTAATAAATTAAATTGCAATTAAAAAAATTTGCATTATATGCGTACCATAAATGTTTATTACTTATAGGTATAAATTTTTGTTCGTATTTAAAAGGTATGTAAACATTCGTGCAAAAAAGTAAATCTTTAAAAGTGAAATTAAAATAATTAAAAAATATATAAATTTTAAATGAACATAAAATATACCTTAAGTATTTTTGTAGAGTAAATATTGGGTTAACAATAAAAGATTAAGTAAAAGTAAAATAAGAAGAAACTTTTAAATATAAATTTTTAAATATAAGAAATAAGCAGCTTTATATACAATAAAGGACTTTGTGTATTTACGATATACTTTTATACGCAAGTTAAAATAATTATCAAACTTTTGACAATTTTATTAAGTACCTTCTCACATTATTATTTGTGTTCAAATAAAATAAAAATGATTAACAATGTTCGAAATCGTAAAATTTTGATCTTTATAAATAATTATGATGAAAAATTGGATTTTTAGAATTATAAGTTACTAAAATTCCAAAATAACTACGGTGGCAACTGTTTCTTAATATACTTAGAAGCCAAGCTGCAACAACCAAATGAAGTGAGTTTGAAATTCTACTAGCTAACATAATATGGAAAATTTGTACTTGAATACAAAATATTTCAGAAAAATATTAATGATTTTCTATTCTGAGTTTTCTTTGTTTAATTTATTTGATAAATTTGTGTACAAGTCAATATCTGCAGTTCTTAATTTTTTTGCAAACTCGAATTATCTACTTATTGTAGATAATTCGATATTATTAGTATGAATATTGTTAATTTACCTTCTTTAGTATGGAAATTGTGCTTTCAAATTACTTACAAGTTTCAAAATGGTATTAGAATTTTTTCTAAATATGTAAGAATTAATTCTAAATATGTAATAAATTTAGAAATATGATTTTAAGATCAAAGACTCAATTTACATTTTTACTTTACGCAAATCGATTCTAATTAACTGTGTACTTTATATGAATAAATTCAATAAATTCAATAAATTCCTCGATAAGTAAATTAATTCTTAAATAAATCATTTCTTAAAAAAAGTTTTCTTCTTGAATATGTACTTTAATTTATTATACTACATATTAAAATATAACCTTTCTTCACAAATAAAAGAATTTAACAACCTCTATGATAAATGAGTTCGAAATCAAAAATATTTTTAATATAGCAAGAAAAAGGAAATAAATGAAAAGAAAAGAAATGAATTGTTTTTGAAAACATTAATACATAACGTGAATTTTAATAAATAATAATAATTTCACATTTCTAAATATATGCAATATAATATTGTACAGTGTAGGACAGTATAATATTACATTTCTAATCTAAACAAGTTTAGCTGCTTAAATTGTGTATAATTTATTTATATAAAATATAATGAAAATTAAAATTAATAATGTCTTACCAGTAAAAAATGAATATTTCATATTCAAATTCATAATGATTTCGTTTTAAATTTCAATTTCCAGTTATTAAGATAATTTTAAAAAATTTATTATTGCGTTTTGAAAAATATCCTGGAATTTAATAAAAAACCAAAATTAATATTAAATTTAATTTAAAATTATTTATTAAATATTTGTTATCCTTTTTATGTCTTTTCTCTTTGATTAGATATTGAAACATTTATATGAGAATTTAAAAGAAAATATATTATTTATTTCAATTATTTAAATTTAAACTTAAAAATTTAATATAAAAAATTTAAGTTTTCAGTTTTTTCTGCACTTTTATTCTTTGTCCTTAAATCCTAATTATTTTGTAATACACTATTCACAATTATTTTTTTCCAATATCCTTGTATTTCCTTATATAATTAAAAATGTTTTTTCGTATTAATAAATTTTAATTTAATATAAATATTATTATTTTTCTTAAATTTTTTAGAATTTAATTTGAATATTTATTTTTTTTTAACTCTTTTTCTTAATATAATAAAATTCTTTTTACAATTTCAAAATTAAACGAAATATAAAAAAATTTAACTCACAATTTAAATTTATTTATTTATTAAATTTATTTTTATAGAATTAAAAGGATTTACTGAAAAATTATTTTTTTTAAATTCCCAAAAATGGTTCTCAAATTGAAATTATCTAAAGGACTGATGTTGTTTTAAATTTGTCATCTGCTATTTATATGATTTGATTTAATTCATTATTACACTGTAAAATTTTTAATTTTTATATGGTAAGCTTATAACACTACATGTATACAAATATATTTCATTTTCGTACATACATATACAATACTTTTTTTAATATTAATACAATTTTGTTATTATTTTTTTTTTTAAGTTTAACTATACTAAGAGTATATACTACAATATAAAAAATAAAGAAAAATCGCAACCAAAAGCTATTGTTATGCGGTATTAAAATTAAAACACATTTACAGTACCATTTGTACTTGTACTAGTATTCTGCTAAGTGGTAGGTGCTTGAATCATCTAAAAAGAAAAGAAAAAAATAAATAAAAATTAAAAAAGTAAAAAAATGATTAAAAATTTTTATTTTTCTTAATATTCTCGCTTTTTTAGTTTGCAAAAGTAATATAATATTTTGCCCAAAAGCAAAAATGCAACAATCATAATACAACATACATAGGTATTATGTATGTAAAATAAGAAAACGACAACATAAAAAAAAAGACTCATCTCTTAGGTCTACCCCTACTGAATAACGCAATATACATACATATATTAGTACAATGTAGTTAAAAAGCTCCTCTCCAAATATTGTTAAATATTATAGTTAACGCAAGTTGAAAAATTTTCCCTCTTTATACTTAAAAAAAAAACAAAAATTTTTCAATCTGCACAATCGCAAATAACTTTACATATAAATAAACAAAGGCAGAAAAGCATATTATAATTATTGTTAGCTTTAAACTTAATTTTTGCAGAAAATTTTCATGCCATCTAAAAAATAATTTTTTCTTTTGTTTTATTCAATTTTTAATTTAATTCTCACGAAATCCGAACTGAGATCAGATCTTGATATTTTTGCGGTAGATTTTCTTCTTCTTCTATAAATACCTACATACATTAATATAACAATAAAATAAAATATTGTTAATAGTAAATTGGAAAATATGAGCTAATTTTAGTGTAGAAAATTTTAACTTTAAAAGCTTTACCTAAATTATTTGAAAGTTAATATTTTTACTCGTTCATATCAGGTATATTGTGTTGCTGTTGCTCTTTCAAAATTAATATATAATTAAGGAAATACCTATGTATATGTGTAATTTAAAATGTCCTTATTACAAATTGACATAGTTTAACAAATACAGTAGATACATTTTTGAAAATTATTTAATTTTTAAATTAAAAATAGAAAATTGAAAATTTAGTTGTTTTACTATTTGCATTATATCATTTATATTATGTTGCTAATTATAAGTATCCTATTGTAGGTCAACAATTGAAAAATTTAATAATTTGTTTCAAATTAGAATTAAAAATATAAGAAGTAATATTCGAAAATTAAAGTTAAATTAGGAGTAAAATTAGAAATAGTGAAAAATTGTGACAGAAGATGAGGAAGAGGAATTTTAAAGACAAACAAAATTTTCGGAATAAAACTAATTCTCTTTTAGGTTATTTAATTGTCCTAATAAAGCCTACCACCTAGGCTATATCTATCGTTAATAGATACTGCACGAAAAAATTTTTAATTTCACAAATTTAAATAAAATTTAATGAGAATTAATTTCACATTTATTCTAGGTTCCAAAAATTTTATTAAATTTATATAAAATTCTTAGATTATTATCCAATAAAGAAATGTTTTTACACAATAGGAAATTGGAGATATTGTAGACTGTTTTAATTATAATTTAACAATTTTAATTTTATACATACATAGCTATATTATATTAATTTTCCATTTAAGTTTTTTTCTGAACACAATTAATTTTGGTTCGGGACATACTGGTTCTGAATTAATAAAGAAGAACTCGTTGGCGCGCTTAATTTAATGAAATGAACTCATTTGGCTCACAACACAATTATATTATTTTAGTGTTATTGAAATTTTGGGTAAAATAGTTGACCACTCTGTTTGCACATATGATAATTGAGCATAAAATAATGTTAACATTAATTTATCACTAATATTCTTATTTGATCCTATAAATGTTTTTGATTTTATATCCTATTTTTAAGAAATTAATGAGTTTATCACAAATAAATACTTTGTTTTCGGAATTAAATCATAAAAAAGATAATGCGAATTATAAAAATTAAGAGACTTCAATAAATTTCCAAAGTTTATAACATACTTTTCGAAAATTATATTAGCTATATTCAAATATGTGTATAACTATACTTACATATTTTTAAGTTTAAGTTTAAATCTAAACAAGTGATAAAAGCATATCCTTATTTCATCTTGCGTAAAAATATGTTAAAAATAAATGCTAACTATACCGCCTCAATAAAATACAATTTAGCAAGCCTATTAAAAATTAATGTTATTTTGAAAAATAGGGCCATGAATTCATGTTTCTGTTTTATGAAAATCACAGTTATTACATTGAATTCATATTAATCTTACATTCTTATTCCTTAAAACTTTTACATTAAATTTTATATAAATTCCATTAATTCGATTAAATTTAATTAAAAATTAACTTAATATATTGCCTATATATAATGTTTAGTATATGCGAAAGATTTTTGAAATGATATATGTTTCATGCTTTTGTTTTGAAATCTTTTGGGAGTACATGATTGTATTTTTACTATTGATCATTATAATAATTGAATCGATTGTAATGAAGATCGTGAATGTTTCATATAAAATTGTTAATGCTTTTAAGTTAAATATTTTCTTTGTATAATAAATTACATATAGTAAGGTTCTGCATAAAATTAATAAATTACCCTTGATCAATTGAAAGATACTATACTATATTATAATAATGAATAAAATGATATTTTAATATTATGCAAAAAAATATTAGAATTTTACTTTTATGTGAGTCTCCTGGTACTAATAAAGAAATAAGAATGAATATTAAAATTGTTTTATGAATTGAAGTTCTCAATTAATTTTAAAATGTAAATTTTAATCTATTATACCATAAAAATAAAGAAAAATTAAGTAAGTTTTTTGTTTCTTTAAATTTTCAAAGAATTTTACTTATTATGCTTATGAAAAATAATATATTTAATTGTTATACTGTTATTAGACTATTACTTAATATGCTTAATTTATTCTTCAAAGAAAAATTTAAAATTTAAGAAATATTTAAATGACTATGTGTACGTTGCTAAATTTTCGAAATAAATTGGAAAATCATATATTGAAGCCGTGAAGCCGATATATTAAAGTAGAAGGCGTAAATCAATAATTTTTTTAAGGGTGAATGTATTCTTGTATAAAATGCGTTATGTACATCAAATTTGTTTATTTTTAAAACAAGGATATAATATCAATTTAAATAAAAATTATTTAAAATTAAAAAAAAAACAATAGAACAGGCTTTAATTCAACTGTTCACTTTGAATTGGGATTCAAATTTAATCCAATGGCTACATTACATTTCTGACGGTGTACATTTTAATATGTAGCACCAATTTTTTATTTAATAAATCTTTTACACCCACATTCTGCGAATATTTGAAAAAATATTTTGTTTTTCATCACTTGCTTCAAGTTTCGAAATTGATTTTATGCAGGAAATTGCAAAATTTTGGAATAACAACCCATCACATCAAGTGGTGTGACTAAAACAAAGAGGGTGACAATTTCAGTTACTGATTAGAGTTGATTATAAAAAAATGCAGTATTAGAGGGGCTAGTTTTTTTTCATCATTTTTGTTCTACATATAATCTTCTTCTCAAAGCACTCTTGTTATATTCCTCCGTCTAATCTCTAATAACAGGTAATCTTTAAGTAACAATTTTGTATAATTTATCCCAATTTTTCATAAGTAACACATTTATTAGAAATTTTAAAATTTTGTGACTTTGGGTTGATCAATTTTCCTATTTTATGCTTTTGTAGCAACTGCAGAGCTATTTCTTTCTCTTATTTCATCACAATAATAATATGCACTAACCTAAAAATATAAATACATTTTATGTTTACTTAACTAATTGCATAGTGTAAATTGTTTTTTGATTTTCGTATAATTTTGATTTTTGTAATGAGATGAGTCTTTCAAGACTATCTCAAATTGCAAACATTTTTAAACGTTTATTTGCAAAAATTTTCTTATATACATAAAAATATTTTTTTATGTATCATTTGCAATTCTACAATAATAGGGCATTATACATAGCACAGAATATAATAGGATTGCTACAAAAAGTAAATTAAATTTTCTAAAGATTTTTTTTTTATTTCATCTTAAATACATCTTTTTTGAATGACAGCCTAAATTTGAGTTAAGTGCGGCTTACAATATTATAGTACATATTACATGTACGTGTTGGTATATGAAATTTGATCTAATTTCTTAAATAACTTTAATTCATATTGTAAGTACAATATGAATTAAAAATTATAAAACCAATATACAAGTAACTACAAGATTACTTTCAAGTTTATAAAAAAAAATTTAAGCTGGTAATATGAAAATCTAAATTTTATTATAGGATGACTTATTCAAATATACTTTATGAAGTTGTTAAAATATTTCATAAATTTGATTAATGATTTCTTTTTAAGTTAAATACATAATATGAATGCGTTTATTATAATGCTCAATGATAAATTTCATGTTTTATTATAGAAAATACATAAGTGCTAAAATAAACTCTTTTTTTATTATATCTTTTCTTGTTGAAAATTGAATTAATTGCATGTCATTGATATCATTAGCACGTATGTCAAGGTCATTTTCATGCCTCTTCTTCCATAATCTATACATACGTAAGTGTAGATATTTATGTATATGGAAACGTGCGCACATAAGTATTAATTATGAATTTCTAAAATTGTTTTTCTTATTTTTTTTTTATTTTCCATTAAATATTCAATTTTGTCCTATTGTGCTATAGAATTGAATAAGTGATCTTCATATTATAATGATACATTTTGTAAATTTTGTAAATTAGTTAACAATTACCACTCTTATAATGATA